CCTGTAGTTCCAGTTACTCAGGAAGCTGAGGCAGGAGAACTGCGTGAAGCCGGGAGGTGGAGGTTGCAGTGAGCTGAGATTGCACCACTGCACTCCAGTCTGGTGCCTGGCAAAAAAGCAAGACTCTCTCAAAAAACAAAAGTAAAGAAAAGAAAAAAAAACACAAAAGAACTTCCCGGCGGGGCACAATGGCTCACATCTGTAATTCCGGCACTTTGGGAGGCCAAAGCAGATGGAGCATGAGGTCAGGAGTTCAAGATCAGCCTGGCCAAGATGGTGAAACCCCATCTCTACTAAAAATACAAAAATTAGCCAGGTATGGTGGTGGACACCTGCAATCCCAGTTACTCAGGAGGCTGAGGCAGAGAACTGCTTGAATCCAGGAGGCAGAGGCTGCAGTGAGCCACAATCACACCACTGCACTCTAGCCTGAGCAACAGAGACTCCGTCTCAAAAAAAAAAAAAGAACTTCCCAATCATAGTACTTAAAATGGATTATAGTTGTGCCAAAGATACTGATGTCCTCAGTTTTGGGGAATGATGCCTATGACTGGTACTAATTATTTCTACGAATACGGTATTAAAATTACCTGATAGCACAAATATTGAGAAGCATGGAATGTAAGACCACACTGCTGGAACTTAAGAGTTCCAGCAAGACAGGCTAGTTACCAAACACATTTGTATAAGGCCAATAGGCATTTAATAATAATTCGCATTCATTGGTAATACAGAAAATAACGCAAGTTAAAACAAATAAAATTGGCCACCATGTTTTTGGAGCCAGTTTTATCCAGTCCTGGTAAAAGAACAGGGAAACAAGTACGTTTTACATGATAGGAGGAATCTATCTGAGGGCAGTAGCTGCAAAGGCTTTGCAAACATCTTTTGGTCCAAGAATTTTACCTGTCTTCATTAAAAAGCAAAAAGACAAAGAATCTATAGGTCCAGCAATAAGTGACTGATTACATACGTGGTAATGTAGCAAGAAAGGCTACAAATTAAGTGACAAAACACAGGCTATAAAACTGTATGTACCTGAGGTTACAAACTGGCAAGGCAACACAGACTGAATTCAGCCCTCAGGTATGCTCTAACCTCCAGTGTGTTAACAAAACAAAGTGTAGCCTGCATAAAAGTCAGAAGATTTCATATTAAATCCACATTATCTTAAATAACTAGAAGGTGTAGTAACACCAGGACGCATCCTCCCAGAATCACAAAGGTCTGGGTTGACTGGCCCTGGACTGTCCTTCTGATAGGACTACCTTCAGTGCTTATGGTCCCTAACAGGCCTTCAAGTCTTCCAGGCTGAGCAGCTTCACACCAGGCACCTGCTGGGTAACTTGAGCATGTTGACCTTCACAGGGTATTATCAGTCATTATCACTGGATGGTAAGATCTTGGTAGGCTTTTAGTCTTCTTTCCTTACCCACGTTTTCAAAAGTTTTCTTCAATAAACATGTATTCCTTTTGTAGTAGGAAAAAACATGTTATTTTTTTAAATTACCAAATCACAACTGTAATATCACTTCATCTTCCAAGATCAAAACAACTAAAGATAACAGGTAATGACTATGGTTTAAAACTAATTGAACTAAGAAGTAATGTAAGGTTACAATTACTGCAGGATTTCCCTCCCTTTGTTACTAATTAAAACTCCAGACTGGACAGACAACAGTAGCTTTTTACAAAATAGATCTTTCTCAAAGGGAACAAACAGCTTCTGTAGACAAAGCATAAGCCAGCTATTTTAAGGATTCATTCCCATACATTTATGACTTCTCTCATTAAGAAAAGGAAACAGAAAAATCTCTCCTATCAGAAACCTATATTCATAACCTCAATTAATTTGTTTGTAAAGCTAAATAATTCTTTATTTCACACTGCTATTTCATTTGATCAATAATAATAGTAATTTTACGGGGTTCTCTTTTCCTCAAAGAACTCTAGAAATTACCATTCATCTTAAACATCCCTGAGACCTCACAAAGTAAACCATATTATCCTCCTCACAAAGATAAAGTAGAAGGCTAGGCAGAAACATCAACATCCATAGATAGCTGGACGTGGAGTCAATGCAATGCTCCTCTCTATCCCTCCTCCAATCCACTCCCGCATGATATCCAGAGGGAGCTTTTTAAACAAAAGCACATGATGGGACTCCCCTGCTTAAAACTTACAGTAGCTTCCTACTCCCCAGATATTCTGAATCAAGTCCCAGGTGGGCCTCTCTTTCACTCCTCACCTGTCTCTCTTGTCCCCAGCACTATCTCAGAGCCCTCTTGCCTCCAGTCTTGAAGGGCCTCAAATACTCCTTTATTATTTATTTATTTATTTATTTATTTTGATACAGAGGCTTGCTCTGTCACCAGGTTGAAGTGCAGTGGCTTGATCTCGGCTCACTACAACCTCCGCCTCCCGGGTTCAAGCGATTCTCCTGCCTCAGCCTCTCAAATAGCTGGGACTAAAGGCACATGCTACCATCCCCAGCTAATTTTCGTATTTTTAGTAGAGACAGGGTTTCACCACGTTGGCCAGGATGGTTTCGATCTCTTGACCTTGCGATCCTACCGCCTTGGCCTCCCAAAGTACTGGGACTACAGGCATAAGCCACCGCACTCCTTTATTTAATAAACCAACAAATAACCCTTGCATGTCTGCCAGACAGCAGGCGCTGCTCTAGGGCTGGGGGCTAATCCCCTGGACAACAGTGATATACTCCCTGCCATCATGGAGCTAACATCCTGGTAACCCCACTACCAAGTTTCTTCCTCCGCTAATCATTTAAATAATATTATAACAATTGTAATAACTGTATCTCAAGGGGTCTAAAAATAAGCAGTGCTACCTATAATATAGACCTATTTTCATTTAATGACTTTAATTTTAGCTCTTTATATTAAGAGCAGGAAAGAGGAGAAATAAAGGCAGAAAAAATTACTATTCATTGAAATCTGCAATATACCAAGAATGGCACTCATTTTGTTGTCAATTTTTCCTTTTTTTTTTTTTGAGACGGAGTTTCGCTCTTGTTACCCAGGCTGGAGTGCAATGGCACGATCTCAGCTCACCGCAACCTCCGCCTCCGGGGTTCAGGCAATTCTCCTGCCTCAGCCTCCTGAGTAGCTGGGATTACAGGCACGCGCCACCATGCCCAGCTCATTTTTTGTATTTTTAGTAGAGACGGGGTTTCACCATGTTGACCAGGATGGTCTCAATCTCTTGACCTTGTGATCCACCCGCCTCAGCCTCCCAAAGTGCTGGGATTACAGGCTTGAGCCACCGTGCCCGGCCCTTGTCAATTTTTCAAGGTTTATCTTGTTACTAGCTTTATAGCTTTCATTCATCAGTGGCCAAAATCCAATACCCCAATTCTGCAAGAATGGGGCAGCTGAGTTTCAAATAACTTCAGAAACTGAAAGATAACTTGGTTTTAAAATCTGCTATCTTAAGTTCACAGCAGAAATGAATTGATTTGTATAAAACACTGGATTCACAATGGATGCTCTTATAAGTAATACACTGGAATGATATATGTGTTTACACAACATTTTGTCTGTGCTAGAATAAAACTGCTCAAGAAATTTGCCTTGCAGAGAAGCAATTAGCCCTACACACACAGACAGACACAAACACAGAAAACGAATGGCTCCAATGGCATCTTGTTTCAGTGTTTCTATGGGAAGAGTCGGTGTCTTTCTAAACTAGGTTGGTTAAAGCCTGGCACATCAGTTGACCTCGTCCATGTCCATAAACCATATCCATGTCTTGCAAATCCATGCCACCAGACACCAGAACGATTTGCAGACATAATACAAGAAGGAACACGTCAAATGCTCACCAGTGCAACCGAGGAGCAAAAGCACTGCCTTAAAGAGGGGATATTTAATTTTAACCACCACGGGTTAAAACTCTGACCACTTGCTATGTTGCTATGACCTTGTTCTTTTCTTTTTCTTGAGACAGAGGTTTGCTCTACCACCAAGGATGGAGTACAATGGCACGATACCAGCTCACTGCAACCTCTGCCTACCAGGTTCAAGCAGTTCTCCTGCCTCAGCCTCCTGAGTAGCTGAGATTACAGGCACATACTACCATGCCCAAGTGTGAGCCACCGCACCTGGCCAGACCTAGTTATTTTCACATTCAGATTTAGTTGAATCCAAAACTCTGCCACATCCCTCAGTTCGACTCCTGGCTCCACCACTCAACAAAGAGCCAAACACACTACCACATGGCTTCAGCAGCCCCCACACCACACAAAAACAATAGGTTTTGGTGACCAACTGAAATCTGAGCTAGGCAGCACAGACAAACTCAGTCCAGCAAGCTGAGGCCAAAACAATTTCACCAATGTTCTCTCTGGGCAGTAAGCTAATAAAGCAAGCTACCTATTGTTAATTTTACTAGAAAAACACTGAAAGAGCAATGATGAATTCAAATAGATTAACTTGTTTAAAATTCACTTTCTTGGCTGGTGCAGTGGCTCACACCTATAATTCCAGCCCTTCTGGAGGCCTAGGTGGCAAGATCACAAGATCAGGAGTTCAAGACCAGCCTGACCAACATGGTAAAACCCGTCTCTACTAAAAATACAAAAATTAGCCAGGCATGGTGGTGGGCACCTGTAATCCCAGCTACTCGGGAGGCTGAGGCAGGAGATTCATTTGAACCTGAGAGGCAGAGGTTCCAATGAGCCAAGATTGCCACTACACTCCTGCCTGGGTGACACAGAAAGACTCCGTCTCAAAAAATAAAAAATAAAAAAAATAAACTACTAGAGCCATAAAGCGGAATATTATTTACTTACTAAAACTGTTATAACTGACAATATATATAGGGAAAGACACTCATGACAGCATGTTAAACAGAAAAAAAGCAGGTTACAACCATATGTATGACAGGATCCCGTTTTTGTTGCCAGAAATTGTGTATGAATAGCCCATGCACCCACACAAAAGTATCTGAAGAAATATGTATGCAGGTAGTAGACTTACAGGGTTTTTTGTTTGTTTGTTTTGTTTTTGAGACGGAGTCTGGCTCTGTCACCTAGGCTGGAGTGCAGTGGCGCAATCATAGCTCACTGTAGCCTTAATCTCCCGGGTTCAAGTGGTTCTCCCACCTCAGCCTCCGAAGTAGCTGGGACTACAGACACACATCACCAAAGAAACTTCTTTTTTAAGCAACAGACTTCTACTTACTACCATAAAGTACAGTAGTACAACACTTAAATCGGTTAGCTTTTGAGTTTTGTGTATTTTTATACATCCCAATTCTTTATCATCACTATAACTACCATTTATTAAGTGGATTTGTCTCAAAAACTTATGTAAGTAAGCACATAGAAATATCTGAACTTGATTATTACTACTCCTATTTTCAGCTGAGAAATGAGGCATTGAGAGGTTCGATCAAACTCACCAACTACATGTAGTCAAACACAATATTCTCCAGAGTCTGCACTCGTAACTACATAATATCTATGGTGCCCTGTGTTGAACTCTTGAAAAGAAGGTGTAAAGGTCAAATTTTATTAACGTGAAAAGTGAAATTGGAAAACATAACAACTCTTTGTATTTGTTAGAAACCAATTTTTATAGCAGTATGTTGGAATTATATGGTTAATAAAATGGTATTTCGATATAAGACAATATACCAAATATAAGTATGACATAAGATGTACCACTACACTGTAACATAAATTTACATTTGGAGTCTCTAAGCAAATGCTTTGCTATGAATCTTCTTTCTGGCTAGTCGCCTTGAGCATACTACTCCTGGGAAATGTCTCTCCTTTCAAAACTAACCAAACTTACAGGAGTCACTGGCGTATGGTGCTTGTGGCTCCTAATTTAAAAAGTCAGTGACTACTAAGTTATAGATTAATTTGACAAGTAAACTTTTAAAAGATTGGCCTGGCCGGGCGCAATGGCTCACACCTGTAATCCCAGCACTTTGGGAGGCCAAAGCAGGTGGATCAGGAGTTCAGTCAGGATTTCAAAGCATGAGGTCAGGGGTTCAAGACCAGCCTGGCCAAAATGGTGAAACCCCGTCTCTAGTAAACATACAAAAAAATTAGCCAGGAATGGTGGTGGGTGTCTGTAATCCCAGCTACCTGGGAAGCTGAAGCAGAGAATTGCTTGAACCCTGGAGGCGGAGGTTGCAGTGAGCTGAGAGCATGCCACTGCATTCCAGCCTGGGCAACAGAGTGACACTCTGTCTCTTAAAAAAAAAAAAAAAAAAAAAAAAAAAGATTGGCCTCACTGCAATGTAGTTTATGTATTCACTCAACAAACATTTAATTGAGTTCCGCCAGGCACTGTTTTAGGCCCTGGTGGTACAGTGGTGAACCAAAGCCTTTGCCTTCTGAAAGGTACATGACAGGTACAATTATGTAGCTGAAGGTCATGGTCAATTGTTTTTTATTAGCAACCTAAGGCATAAAACTTAACCTGCCACTTGAAAAACTTTCTATCCGGGCCAGGCGCAGTGGCTCACACCTGTAATCCCAGCACTTTGGGAGGCCAAGGTGGGCGGATTACGAGGTCAAGAGATAGAGACCATCCTGGCCAACACAGTGAAACACCATCTCTATTAAAAATACAAAAATTAGCTGAGCCTGGTGGTGCGCACCTGTAGTCCCAGCTACTCGGAAGGCTGAGGCAGGAGAATTGCTCGAATCTGGGAGGCAGAGGTTACAGTGACCCGAGATCACGCCACTGCACTCCAGCCTGGAAACGGAGCAAGACTGTCTCAAAAAAAAAAAAAAAAAAAAAAAAAAAGAAAGAAAAAGAAAAACTTTCTATCCACTTCAGAAGCAGGTCTCAGGAGATGCTCAGCAAGAAGGAAGCCACTGGTTTCCAACTTCCCTATGCAAGAGAAATTCCTGGAGAAGGCAGTAAAAATACCAACTCCAGGGCTCCACCTCCAGCTGTCGGGTGAGGTGACAGAAACCTGTATTTATTTTTATGTTATTTATATACTTACTTACTTTTTGGACACAGGCACTCTGTTGTCCAGGCTAGAATGCAGTAGGACAATCATGGCTCACTGCAGCCTCGATCTCCTGGGCTCAAGTGAACCAGATCCTCCCACCCCAGAGTCTAGAAGAGCTGGGAATATAGGCACGAGTCATTATGCCCAGCGCATTTTTTTTTTTTTTTTAAATTATTTCAGAGGCAAGGTTTCTCTATGTTGTCCAAGGTGGTCTCAAATTCCTGGGCCCATGCTAGCCTCCTATTTCAGTCTCTCAAAATGTTGGGATTCCAGGCTTTAGCCACCATGCCCAAAACCTGTATTTTTAACAAGTGCCTCCATTAACACTGAGGTAAATGATCCGTGGTCCACACTTTGAGAAACCCAACCAGTAAGTGGAGCCATTCAGGAGGAAGTGATCATTCAGAAGGCAATAGCTCTATGGCAGAATAATCTGAGGTGTGTAATATAACCCCAACTCTCATGTCATTAATTCTCTACAATTCGCAAATTTTAGCAAATTAAAAAGAATAGAGTAGGGGAATTTGGATGAGGCACAGTGGCTCATCCCTGTAATCCCAGCTCTTTGGGAGGCCTAGTGTCTAGGTGGGAGAATCCTTTAAGGCAGGCTTTTTAGACCAGCCTGAGCAACATAGAGAGACCCTGTCTCTAGAAAAAAATTTGAAAACTAGCTGGGCATGGTGGCATGCACCTGTGGTCCCAGATACACCAGAAGCTGAGGCAGGAAGATCACTGAAGCCCAAAAGTTAGAGGCTGCAGTGTGCCATGATTGCGCCACTACACTCCAGCCTGAGTGACACAGCCAAACCCTGTCTTAAAAAAAAAAAGTAAAGGCATTTACCATCAGCTCCTCCTTCATCTCTTGCAGGAGCTTGATAGTTTGTCCCAAACTAGGCATTTGGGGAAAAGATAAACTTGAGCAGAGGTTCTACTACCAATATTAAAGATAAGCTTTAAGAAAAAGAAAATTGCTAGTCAACTGCCAAGAAAAAAAAATGCCAAGAGAGACAAACATTTCACAGAACTAACTTGCTACCCTATTTTATGCCCTATTTCACAATGCTTAGTATCTGAGCAATCCACAGGGTTCCAAAGTACATTAAAAATTTGTTCATCTCCTCTCTTACTCAGGCAGAATAATAATGGAGATTTCTGAAGGTACCATGCGCCTCAGCAATTTCAACAGATACATTCTTAGATAAAGAAATACCATTTTTTAAAAAAGATCATACTATCAGAAATGATCTTTAATGGATTACTTAAGGGTGTCTGAAGTAATTTTAACACCATCATCAAATTAGTGTCCCTCATTCCTTAATTTATATGACTTAAAAGTCCCTGGATTCTTTACAAATCCACCTGCAGAAAGGATTTTTCTTTCACATGTATGTATTTTTTAATGTTTTTACTAACAAGGAAGCTCCCATCAAAATAACGTTTCCAGCAAACCAGTAAAAGAAATTTTAAACAGAAACATATTTTGTTCTCAGAGATAAACTAAGAAATAATAACTATGAAGGGTGTTTAAGCTTCTGCACTCTCAGCCTTAAAGTCATCTAAAAACAAAGATATCCAAAAAATACATTCCATCTATTCATATTTTGGGGGTTTAGAGTGGCACCATGCAAACCAGCTGGCCTGCTGGGTCCTGGCCCCAGTTCCTGCCCTCACATCCTGTCCACTACATAATCCATGAGATCTCTGTGCCTTTCTCTTCATCCGTTCCACGGGATTAGCAAAACTGCCTCCCCGCTGACAGAACTGAGAATTTCTAGCGGCATTTGTTTGTATGGAATTTGCTGTTATTATCCACCCTCTCATTGGCTCTGTTTTTATTATCTGTACGTTTTGATCAAGAGGGAACAGCAAGAGAAGAATGCCAATAGACAGGCACAAAGAAACGCATCTGGCCGGAGCCTGCATATATTTAAATTTCCAGGTTGCTGCTGCCCTCAGAACAGCACGATGATGGCAAAGTTCTAGAGGAAACTTTCATATTGAAGAGGCTATAAAAATCTCCATCGCCTCCAACTCCACAGAGAAGAAGCTAATCTATTTCTTCCAAAGCAAAGCCTTCTCGAGTCTGAATCAAAACAAAAGATTGCCCATAGGAAATGTAATCTCCGAAGTTGTTTTCGAATCCCAAAGCAAGCAGAAGCGCAGGAAGGTGCGGCCGACTCCTCGCCGGTTTCCTTTCCTTGGGAATTCTGATGGCATTCCCTCGTGCAAGCAAGCGGCCGCAATTGTGCCTTGGGTCCACACCACAAAACCGTGTCGGTGCGTAAGAAGGGAAGGGACGCGGCAGACCCGGGGACGCGCTCACAGGGCGCGGGAGCCGCTCTCGGTTAAATGCCTTTAGGGGCGGCCCCGCGGCGCGCCCTGGGGCCGAACGGCATTGCCTGCCCTTCACTGACCCAGGATTCTGCAGGCTCTCGAGTGAGGAGCCGAGGAAGGAGCGGGGGCTCCAGGCAGAGGCGGCGCCGCTCCCGCCAGCGCGGGTCCCCGGGCGGCCAGCGGGAGGCGAGGCCGGGCCGCCCCGCGCCGGTGGCCGAGGGCAGCGAGGTCAGCCCGGGGTCTCCGCGGGAGGAGAGAGCCCGCTCGGCGACGGGGCCGCGGCGCCCATTCATCCCCACGCCGGTCCCGCGGCCGCCACGCCACGGCCCGCCGCGGCCCCCGGCCTCCCGGTGCGGGTCCGCCCGTCGCCCCGTCGCCCCGCCGCCCCGCCGCCGCCCCCGAGGACGGGAAGGACGAGGCGGAGGGGCGGCCGCTGCCGTCTCCCGGGCGCGCGGCGAGGAGCGAAGGGCGGCCGGGGGGACAAGCACCGGGCGCGGGACGGACGCCCCGGGCGGCCATCGCGCCGACCCCCGCGCCGACCCCCGCCCCCGCCGCCGCCCGCGATCCAGGCCGCCGCCGTGCAGCCCGCTCCTCACCTCATCTCCGGGCGGGTCCGCGCTACCGCCCCAGGGACAAATCAGTGCCGCTCACGCGCCGCGGGGAGGGACGCAGGAGCCGCAGCCCCGCAAATCATCCCCGCCCGCCTCTCCGTCCGTCCCGGAGCCCGCTCGGGGTTCTTCCTCGCGAGCCGCCGTACTACGGAGCAACCAAGCTGCTCTCCCTCCCCCGGCGCCTCCACTCCTCTCTACCTCCTTCTCTCCCTCCCTCGCTCCCTTGCTCCCGCCTATCTCCTCATCTCCCTCCGCTGCCTCCTCCGCCCCCATCCACCCCCCCGTCTCCGCCCACAAGTGGGTGGAAAAACCTCCTGCCAATCGGAAGAAGAGGCTCGCACCTTCTCACCGCCCCCTACCGCTGGCCCCACCCACCGAGCAAACCCAAGGAGGGAGAGCCAAAGAACTGTAAGACAACAGTGACAAGCCAAATGAGCCAATCAGCAGGCGTTGAGGGGGGGGGGGCGAGATTAGCACTCCTCTCCCCGCGACGTAGGCGAAACCGGGGATTTCTTGTCTGATGTTGCCCTATCGTGGT